TTACATGGAGGTGTGTACAATGTGTTTTTATGCATGTGCACTTGTGCATGTGCTCACATGCATGTGCAGGAGAGACTGCCCACCGTATGGCCCTCCTCTCGGGCTTGGAAATTGAGAGACATTGAATAGTGAACCTGAATAAGATGTAGACTTGTTTGTAGGAGAAACCAAAGGGTTAATTTGAACTCTTATTTTATATTTCTTCATATGTTACAAAAGCAACCAGTTCTCATTACTGAAAATACATCGGGGCGCCTGGGTGGCTTAGTGGTTAAGCGTCCGACTTTCGCTTAGGTCATGATCTCGCGGTTCGTGGGTTCGAGCCCTGCGTCGGGCTCTGTGCTGACTGCCAGCTTGGAGCCTGGAGCCTATTTCAGAGTCTGCGTCTCCCTCTCTCTCTGACCCTCCCCTGCTCACGCTGTCTCTCTCTCTCTCTCTCTCTCTCTCTCCTAGAAATAAATTTAAAAAAAATACATCAAAAAATAAGTGTGGAAGACTGTGGTAACCATCCAGTGCTCTTGAATTGCAAACATAGCATTTATTTCATGGAAAAGGGACCATCTGGTGCTGAATTTAGACTTCCAGATTAATTGGCATTGAGTGTCTGTCTTTGAGTTTCAACTTTTGAAAACCCTCAACTCTTTTTCCTGGTACCAACTTTTTGCTTCAAATATAATGATAGTTCACTTTAGTGGTCTGAAGATTAGGAAGAAATCACGCTTGGGTGGAAGAACTTGTCAGCAAAGCAGATCCAGGGAAACACACCTACTCGTTCCCAGTCCCTCACCTGTCACAACTCTGCGTTTTCTGCTGCCGTCCACGTGAGACCTGTCTGCCTTCAGGAGTGGAAAACAGCGTCTACCAGTCATTCAATGGGCCCTTTGTAGATATTAACTGGAAATTGATAATTGGTTGTGGTAATTATCAACTTCACAAAACAAGTTCTTCATAAATGTTCTCAGCTCCTCAGCCTGCGCTGTCATTGCCAGTAAAGGTGAAATGATAAATGCAATTCTGAAGGGAGGGGAGGTCATTATCACTGCCCCATATCACAGCATCCTCTGGCTGCCTCCCTCCCACATGCACTAGCCCTCATGACCTTGCACTGAGCTCACCCTCCAGAAGAGGGATGTTTCTGGGAGAATATTTTCCATTTCTGCCTGAAAAGTAAGTCTATAAGGTATAGATGCCTATCAGGAGTAAATGTGGATAAGCGATTGTATATTTAAAAAAAAGAATCATTCTGGGTTTGAAATTGATCCAGTGCCAAAGCCACATAGACATGAGCCGAGCTTGTAAAGAGAGATGTGGTCCTAGACTTTATCCCAATGCCTGCTGTCTCTTGGTGTGATTTAGTGTAATCTTCAATGACAATGATTGTAGATTTTTAATCCGTGAAAATGAATCCTGATTTTTCAGGTAATGAGGGCCCATAGTTCTGAAAGCAATTGCTTTCAGCCTACCTTACAGGAATCATAGACAAACTTTTGTAGGATTACTAGAGGTGTGCCTGTAATCCCTCCATGCTTATAATAAGGACTAGGATAAATAAATCTGTACGAATCAAGTAATCTTGTGAAGGAACAAGATACCCCAATGACAGCTGCCAGAATAGAAAGGTTTTCTCTAACTCTGAGTATGATGTGCTTAATGAATACAGTAGTATCTCTACTGAAAACATCGTGGTCTGTGGATGATGGTGAGACTATTTTCTTTTGAAGCTTTTGAAAATAGCATATAAGGAAAAGAGAATTCTGTAATAATGTGTTTCAGAGAGTAGCTGTTAGGCTCATAAGTATCCTGTGGTATTTTCTCTGATATCAGTTGCAAATTCTATAAAATCAATTGATAAACCACACAATATTCTTGTATTAGAGTTTTCGGTTTCATATGTCATATTTTAATATATTTAAGAGAACTTACCACATGGCTAATAGTTCCTAACCTGTTATTAATAAATAAGCAGATGATCTAAAATTACTAATACTTTTGTATTTACCTTACACTATTTTATCACATATTAGAATTCCACATCCTGTACTTCAGGGCAAGGCATGAGATGATGATAGGTTTCCTGATACTTTTGTTCTTGACATAAAGGCAAATGCTCCATGTTTTTTTCTTTGTTTCCATTCTACTAGTGAGCCATTCTTGCTTGCATTCATTCCATTCAATTTGTCAAGGGACAGGTTCCTGTAACAGGAAACGCAAATCTGTGCATCTAGATTTTCTTAAATCTCTAAAGCTTTATTCATTTTGATATTGGCTTACAGAATAAATCATTACACATCATGTAGGTTATTACAACAAAAATTATAAAGTAACATACTATCAAGCTAAAATACAAAGGCAAAGCTAAAACCAACAAAGAACACAGCTATCTAGCTTATTTAGCATAGTATAGCAGTTAAATGCACTGTTTCTGCAAACAACTCAGTCAGATTCAAGTCCACACTTTGCCTCAGGTAGGGTATGAATGTAGGCAAATCACCTATCCTGTCTGTATTCTCCTTGTCTTTAAAATGAAAGTAGTAGTAGTGATAACTCATAGTTTTGTTTAAAAAGTAAGTTCCAACATGGGTGACACAGCAATGACTCATACATTGTTATTTGCTTTAAACTCTTGGTGCGCCTGGGTGGCTCAGTCAATTGAGCATCTGACTTCAGCTCTGGTCGTGATCTCATGGTTCTTGAGTTCAAGCCTTGCACTGGGTTTGCTGCTTTCAGCACAGAGTCTGCTTTGGATACTTTGTCCCTCTTTCTTTGCCCCTCCCCTGCTCAGTTTCTTTCAAAAATGAATAAACAATTTTAAAAAAAGGCATACATTCAACTCTTGAAAATCTCTTTAGAAAGAATGAAATCTGGCCATGTGTAGCAACATGGATGGAACTTGAGGGTGTTATGTTGAGTGAAATAAGTCAGGCAGAGAAGGACAGTTACCATGTGTTTGCATGTATAGGACGATTAGGAGGAACTTAACAGAGGACCATGGGTGAGGAGAAGGGGAAAAAATAGTTGGGGAGAGGGAGGGACACAAACCATGAGAGACTCTTGAATGCTGAGAACAAACTGAGGGCTGATGGGGGTGTGGGGAAGGGGAAGGGGGGTGATGGTCATGGAGGAGGGCACTTGTGGGGATGAGCCCTGGGTGTTATATGGAAACCAACTTGACAATAAACTTTTTAAGGGGGAAAAAAAGAGGAAAAAAAGAAAGTCTCTTTAAGAATTAATATTCTTCGGGGTGCCTGGGTGGCTTAGTCGGTTAAGCGTCCGACTTTCGCTTAGGTCATGATCTCGCGGTTCGTGGGTTCGAGCCCCACGTCGGGCTCTGTGCTGACTTCCAGCTCAGAGCCTGGAGCCTGTTTCAGTCTGTGACTCCCTCTCTCTCTGGCCCTCCCCTGCTCATACTGTCTCTCTCTCCCCTAGAAATAAATAAAAATATAAAAAAAGAATTAATATTCCTCTTGTTCAACTTTATTGATATATAATTGATGTGCCAAAAATTGCACATATTTAATGTATGTATTTTGATGAGTTTGGAAATCTGTATAACTCTGTGATATCATCACCACAATCAAGGTACTAAAATATCCATCACTTCTGAAACATTCCTTGTGTTCCTGTGTGTATGTGTTTGGTCAGAGTACTTAACATAAAATATATACTCTTTTCATAATTGCACAATACCATACTACTAACCATAGTCACTGTATTGTACAACAGATCTCTACAACTCAGTCATCTTGTATAACTGAAACTTCACACTCATTAAACAAGAATTCCCCATTCCGCCTCCGTCTAGCTACTGGCAACCACTATTCTACTGTCTGCTTCTATGGGTTTGACTATTTTAAATTCTACATATAAGTGAAACCATACCATACTTTTCCTTCTGTTACTCACCTATTTCACTTAGCATAATGTCTTCTATATTCATCTATGTAGGAGCTCCTTCTTTTTGAAGCTTATAGAATACTCCATTGAATGTATATACCTCATTTTCCTCATCCATTCATAGTCAATGGGCATTTCAATTTTTTCCATAAGTTGGCAATTGTGAATGATACTGTAATGAATGTGAACATGTAGATACCTCTTTGAGACCTTGGTTTCAAATCTTTTGGATATATACCAAGAATTTGGATTTCTGGATGATGAGATAGTTCCATTATATATTTTTTTGAGGAATCTCTATACTTTTTCCACAGTAGTTGCAATATTCTACATTTCTGCCAATAGTGTATAAGGACTTTAATTTTTCCACAGCCTCACCAACACTTGCTATCTTTTGGACTTGGGGGATACTAGTCATTCTAACAGATATGAGGTAACATCTCATTGTGGATTTGATCTGAATTTCCCTGATGATTAGTAGAGCCAAGCACCTTTTCTTATACTTGTTGACCATTTGAATGTTTTTTGGAGAAATGTTTATTCATAAATTTGCCCATTTGTTAATTGGGTTATTTGGTGGTTTCTTCTATTGAGTTTTGGAGATTCTTATGTTTTATAAATTAACCCCTTGTCAGATGAATGCTTTGCAAAGATTTTGTCCCATTCCATAGATTGCCTTTTTACTGTAGTGATTATCTTCTTTGTTCTGCAGACGCGTTTTAGTATATAATCTCATTTGTATTTTGTTTTTTTGGTTCTGCTGCCTCTGTTGTTGCCTGTCAGATCTAGGAAATAATTGCCAAGACCAATGTCAGGAATATTTTCCTCTGTGTTTTCCTGAAGTGACTTTACAGTTTCATGTCTTATGTTTAAGTCTTCCATCCATTTTGAGTTGATTTTTTTTGTGTATGGTATAAGATAGGGGTCCAATTTCACCCTTTGACACATGGATATACGGTTTTCCTAACACCATTTCTAAGGAAAAACTAACGATAAGTGGAGAATATTAGATTTTAGTTGACATGATGCATGAAGCCCACGCCTCATATTCCCATGCAGGATCCTCTGGTTCTGAAGATAAATTTCAGTGACTGGAAACTGGCAGAATGGCCTCCAGGGATATGGTCATAGGAGTGATCTTCTTATCCCAGACAATGGTTGGAATCTTGGGGAATTTCTCTCTTCTTTACTATTATCTCTTCCTCTCCTTCACTGGGTGCAGGTTGAAGCCCATAGATTTGATTGTTAAACACTTGATTGCAGCCAACTCCTTATCCCTCCTCTGTAAAGGAGTCCCCCAGATGATGGTAGGTTTCGGATGGAAAAATTTTCCAAGTGATTTTGGATGCAAACTTCTTTTCTATCTTCACAGAGTAAGCAGGGGTGTGTCCATAGGCAGCACCTGCCTCTTGAGTGTCTTCCAGGCCATTACGATCAGCCCCGGGACTCTAGGTGGACAAAACTTAAAAGAAAAGCTCTCAAGTGCATTGACTTCTCTATATTCCTGTGCTGGGCCATCTACATGCTGGTAAATATCATTTTCCCTCTCCATGTGACTGGCAAATGGAGCAACACGAGCCTAATGAGGAAGGATTTGGAATACTGTTTTGGGATAAATCATAACAAAATCACACAATTGCTATATGCAGTATTGTTATCCTTCCCTGATGTGTTATGTTTAGGGATCATGCTCTGGGCCAGTGGCTACGTGGTCTTCATCCTGTACAGGCACAAGCAGAGGGTCCTGCACATTCACAGGACTAATATCTCCCCGAGATCCTCTGCTGAGTCCAGAGCCACCCAGAGCATCCTCGTCCTGGTGAGCACCTTTGTGTCTTTCTACTCCCTCTCCTCCATCTGTCAAGCCTCTATTGTTGTTTTTGATAATCCCAGCTGGTTGCTGTTGAAGGTCTCTGCCTTGATCAATGGATGTTTCCCAACCTCCTCCCCCTTTGTTCTCATTAACCGTGACTCCAGTGTGTCCAGGTTCTATTTCTCCTGGGTGAGGAACACAATATCCATGAAACTCATAACAAATGTGTAAATTTTATGTTTTTTCACAGTGTACGGTTGTTTACTCATTCACCCCCTGAACGGCCAGTATCATGGCACAGCAATCACATCCCAGGAGAGTGGTCAGCAAGCCAGAATAAGCTTCTGTCCCAATAAGAAACAATCAATAGTAGTAGTAAATGTAATTGAACCAATGTAATTATTATGAAAATACTTAATACAAGTGAAATTTTATTCACACTTCCAGTGAAGTAGTTTGGAATCTGTGCAATTAAATAATTTTTCCTGAAACAATCTAGAGATTGTGAGAGAGTCTTTGAGTGTTGTAATTTGTAATTTGGTTAATTAAATATATCCAAAATTAATTAAGCTAGGAATTGTTGGGAAAGTTGCAGGAGAAATTAACATATGAGATGGCCATTCAAGAAAGTGAAGAAAAGAATGTTCTCAAGTAGTAATAAAGTAGCATGGGGTGAAGGTGGAGTGCAAATTCAGGTTCAGTTAGGAACATTTTGGGCTAAGTTATAAGACTTGTAGGTTATATCCTTAAAGAGAGAGTAGTCTTCAAAATATGATGACATGGAGGGATATTAGTATATTTAAAGCATCTTCATGTAGAAATGGACAAAGGGAAGCGGGTAGGGACAGAAGGAGCACAAAAACCTGTTTTCACTAACTAAAAAAAAAAAAGAGTGGCTAACAGCTTTTAAAAAATCAGGTAACCTACCGATTAGGAGAAGATATTTGCAAATGATATATCTAACAAGGGGTTAATATCCAAATTATAAAGAACTCACACAAGGTATGTGGGTGGCTCAGTCAGCTGAGCATCAGACTTTGGCTCAGGCATGATCTCACGACTTGTGAGTTCGAGCCCCACATTGGACTTGCTGCCGTCTGTCTGTCAGCACAGAGTTCACTTCTGATCATCTGTTCCTCTCACCTCCCCACCATGCTGTGTGCTGACAGCTCAGAGCCAGGAACCTGCTTCAGATTCTCTGTCCCCCTCTCTCTCTGACCCTCCCCTGCTCATGCTGTCTCTCTCTCTCAGAAATAAATAAAACATTTTTTCTCTTGATTCCCTTGCTTTTGGGGATGTGTCAAGTAAGAAGTTGCTGCGGTGGAGGTCAAGGAGGTTGTTTCCTGGTTTCTCCTCCAGGGTTTTGATGGTTTCCTGTCTCATGTTCAGGTCCTTTATCCATTTTGAGTTTATTTTTGTGTATGGTGTGAGAAATTGATCTAGTTTCATTCTTCTGCATGTTGCTGTCCAGTTCTCCCAACACCATCTGTTAAAGAGGCTGTCTTTTTTCCATTGGGTATTCTTTCCTGCTTTGTCAAAAATTAGTTGGCTGTATACTTTTGGGTCAAGTTCTGAGTTTTCAATTCTGTTCCATTGGTCTATGTGTCTGTTTTTGTGCCAATACCATACTGTCTTGATGATGACAGCTTTGTAGTAGAGGCTAAAGTCTGGGATGGTGATATCTCCCGTTTTGGTTTTATTCTTCAATATTCCTTTGGCTATTCAGGGTCTTTTGTGGTTCCATACAAATTTTAGGATAGTTTGTTCTAGTTTTGAGAAGTATTGGATGGACCTTGAGGGTGTTATGCTTAGCGAAATAAGTCAGGCAGAAAAGGATAAATATCATATGTTTGCACGTATAGGAGGATTAGGAGGAACTTAATGGAGGACCATGGGGGAGAAGAAGGGGGAAAATGGTGGGGGAAAGGGAGAGAGGCAAACCATGAGAGATTCTTGAATGCTGAGAACAAACTGAGGACTGATGGGTGTGTGTGTGGGGGGGAGATGGGCATGGAGGAAGGGACTTGTGGGGATGAGCCCTGGGTGTTATATGGAAACCAACTTGACAATAAACTATTTGTAAAAAAACAAATAAATAAATAAAATACAAAAAAAGAGAAATAAATAAAACATTAAAATTTTTTAAATAAAATAAATAAAAATTTCTAAAAATTAAAAAAAAAAACACATGCCACTTGGGATAAAATTGCATGAATCTGTAGAAGGCAGATTTTCCTTTAAAGTGTGAGGATGCCAGTTGGCCATGTTGGAATGAAGGATATTTGAGAATAGCACTCTCAAATGTCTAAGGTGAGGAGGTAAGGAGAGGCTTCTACTTTATTGAAATTCACTTCAATGGATACAGAAAATTATATATATATATATATATATGCAAATACAATGGAATATTATCCAGCCATACAAAGGAAAGAAATTCTGCCATTTGCAACAATACAGATGGATCTCGAGGGCATTCTGCTAAGCAAGATAAGTCAGATAGACAGAGATGCATACATGACATATATGATATTGCTTATATATGGAATCTAAATAAAAACAAACTTCCAAAAATTAGACTGGTCATTGCCAGTGTGGCTGGGGGGAAAGGGGAGATGTTGGTCAAAGGGTATAAGCTTCCAGTTATAAGATGAATAAATTGTGGGGTTCTAATGGACAGCATGGTGACTATAGCTAACAATACTGTATTATATCCTTGAAATTGCTAAGAAAATCGATTTTAAATATTATCAACACACTAAAAAAAGAATTACTTAATGAGATAAAGATGTTAACTAACCCTGTTGTGGTATTCATTTTGCAATATATATGTTATCAAATTGTCACATTGTATACCTTAAACTTGCACAATGTTAAATGCGGATTGGATCTCAATCAAACTGGGAGAGAAAAAGACTCATTGTCTTCATGTTGCTTGTTTAAGATATTAGAATCTCTTCCATACTGTGGGAGGCTGCCAATAGTCTTGCCCTTAGTTCTCCCCCCTTTTTTTTGAGGGGGGTGCAAATGGGGTAGAGGCAGAGGGAGTGGAAGGGAAAGAATCTTAAGCAGGATCCATGGTCAGCACGGAGCCCAATGTGGGGCTCGATATCACCACCCTGAAATAATGACTTGAACTGAAATCAGGAGTCCAACGTTTAGATGATTGAGCCAACCAGGTGCTCCTTTATGTTTCTTAATTGGAATATTCCTGATGGGCACTGCAAACCTTGTGCACACTGTGACTGCCATCATGGCAATGAAAGTGGGGTCCTGGCCAAAGTGCTTGGGTGCAGCATAGGGCAGATCAATAAGTCCATCTCCCATGATAAGGCTGGTCCATGAAGTAAGAGGGAATTCAGTTCAAATAATTTTTTTAAAGTTTATTTTGAAAGAGACAGAGAGAGTACACGTGGAGGACGGGCAGAAAGAGAGGGAGAATCTCAAGCAGACTCTGCACTGTCAGCATAGAGCCCAAGGTGGGGCTCAAACTCATGAAACCAAAAGATCATGACCTGAGCTGAAATCAAGAGTCAACTGCTCAACCGACTGAGCCACCTAGGAGCCCCTTCAGTTCAAATCTTTAGAAGGAAGGCTGGAGGGATCCACATTGGTGGATGTCATCTCAGGTTTCCTGATAGGTCAGATCTATTCTTGGATATGTAGATGGGCATCAGCCTGGTAGGATGTTGTAGAAAAACAGCAGTCAAATAAAATCTGTTTTACCATCAAAGAGTAGAAAAAGATATCTAAAAAAAAAAAAGATAAAAAAAGACATAGGACCTATGGAAACATTTCACAGTAAAAAAAATGCAAATAGTCATTTCACGTACAAAGAGGTATCCATCCTCAAGGGGCATCTGTATCGCTCAGTTGGTTTGAGCGTCTGAATCTTGATTTTGACTCAGGTCATGATCTCACAGTTTGTGAGTTCCAGCCCCACATCAGGGTCTGCACTGGCAGCTCAGAGCTTGCTTGGGATACTGTCTCCCTCTCTCTCTCTGCCCCTCCCCAACTTGCTCTCTATCTCACGCTGAAAACAAATAAAAATAAACTTAAAGACATTTTAGCATATATATTTTTTAAATCTTATAATTTTATTTTATACATAATATAACGTTTAAAATATAATGTGCAGTATAATAATATATAAATTAAAAAAAATTTTTTAATGTTTTATTTATTTCTAGGAGAGAGAAAGAGAGACAGCGTGAGCAGGGGAGGGTCAGAGAGAGAGGGAGTCACAGACTGAAACAGGCTCCAGGCTCTGAGCTGGCAGTCAGCACAGAGCCCGACGTGGGGCTCGAACCCACGAACCGCGAGATCATGACCTAAGCGAAAGTCGGACACTTAACCGACTAAGCCACCCAGGTACCCCAATAATATATAAATTTTTAAACATCATGAATATATGTATGTTACATGTAACATATAAGTTATATGTAATATATATATTTACATATCCTATAAAATTTAAAATATATATGTTATAGGGGCACCTGGCTGGCTCAGTCGGTAGGCATACAACTCTTGATCTCAGGGTTGAGTTCAAGCCTCATGTTGGGTAAAGAGATTATGTGAAAGTAAAATCCTTAAAAATATATGTTATATAGGGAAGGGGCCAAAATGGCAGAAAAGCATAGAAGTTTCCTTTGTGTCTCTTGATCCTGACATACAGCAAGATCAACATTAAGCCATCTTGCACACCTAGGAAACTGATTTGAAGATTAACACAACAATCTGCACAAACTGAAGCACAGAACTCAGTAGGTATGCGGTGTGAAGAGGTAAACTGGGGGAAAGAGAAGTCATGGAGGGCAGGGAGCTGTTTTTGCTTGCAGAGAGAGGACAGAGATGGGGGAAAGTATGGGAAAAGCACCTTCCCCCCTGAAAGCAGCTGGAGAGAAAGAGGAAGAGTGGGAACAGCTGCAAGGGACTGGAAAAACAAGGGAGAAAGGAGGAAGGAGAGGGTTTAAATTCCATGAAGACTCTATAAACAGGGGGAGCACAGAGACTGAAACTCCACAGTTCAATACCTGGTGGAGTTCTGGTGGGAGGAACAAATCCCCAGGAGTAGAGAGAGAGGTCTGAGGGGTCCACGGGCCACACGGGGAGAGGTGGTTCCCCTGCTCTAGGAGGACATTGGTAGAGGCTGTGTGGCCTCCCCCACAGGCAAAGGTCCTAGTGGACCCTGGAAAACAACCCCGTTCGCTGATGCTGCAATAAGAACCTTA